GGCACCCAGAGTAGGAGGAGGGCTTTATTTTCTTTGCCTAATTTTTTGAGCTTCTCTAGGCATACTTTGACCAACTTCGAAATCCTATCGATGTTGATGGTTACCGAGTTGATCGCGTTTAGTGCTGCTTGACTATCGGATAAGATGGCTATTTCCTGTTTTCGATAGTTCCTCTATCTAAGATAAATTGTAAGCATCTTTCGATAGCGTAAATTTCTGCCTGAAGAATGTTCGGGTAGGTACCCATTGGTTTGGAGTATTTTGTTTTAGGCCTAAATACTCCTATATATCCTTGTCCCTGCTTTGGTTTTGAAAGCATCAGTATACCACGTTATGGCATGGTCGTTTACATGCTGAGCACACGTTTCTTCCTTCCAATCCTTTTTATTACTCAATACTACTGTGAGGTGTTTCTCAAAGTTTGTAAATCCTTGGTATGTCATCCATTGGGTGCAGGAGTGGTTTTAACATCTATCGTTTTTTTAAGTGGTCAAACCAAACCAAACCAACTGCCATGTTAACGAAAAAAACATTTATTTTCCAAAAATAATGCAACGTTATTAAACTTAGCTATCCCATTTATACTTTTCCAAATTTCCATACCGTTTTAGAGAACATTAAAAAAAACATGAAGATATTGTTAATTTTTAGTCTTAAAAATCAAGAGGCGTTTCTATATTAATATCACTTCAATTTCATACTTTGATAAATGGTTATTATTAATTTTGATTACAGTCATATTTTTTGCTGTTACGAGTATTAAAGTATCACATTTTCTGATAACTATTATCACCCTTTCCGTAGCTTTCTGTATTCAACTAAATAATTTTTTGTGCTTCTTAATAATGCGACTTTAACTAAAATTCTATAAATAACAATCTATTAAAGAATGAAATCGAAATGGAAGAAACGTCTTTTGATTTTTAGGACATAGGGAAAAGATTAACAATATATACATGTTTTTTTAATTTTCTCAAAAACTGTATGGAAATTTGGAAAAGTATAAACGGGATTAACCATTTTAGATCAAGCAAAAATTTTTATGAAGAATGCATTTTTCTCAAAATGTCAATAATACAAATGTTTGTCCTCTTGTAAAGTTAAAATAATCAAATTTTAGACAAACCAACATAACTAATTTAAGAAATATCGCATTTATTTCTGATCTATAACTGAACAGGTAACAATGCAGAACCAGGTAAATGTCAACATACCTCAACCTATCATTGAATGTAATTTGTTGTGCTGTTTACCCTACTATGTTATAGTACTCACGGTTAGGGAAGTAAAACTTGTTCAAGTTAGACAAAAGCTATAAGGTGGAAATAAAATTTGACATTGAAATTATAAGTTGACAACTTAAGGTATGTTGGCATTTGCTTGGTTTTGCATTGTTACCTGTTCAGTTTTAATTTAAAAATTAGAGATGAGCAGAAAATCGCAAACTGCGATTTAATCGCAGCGTATGTAAATTCGCAATCGCAACCTGTGATTCCTTTCCATAGCAAACTGCGATTTGCGATTGAAGCATATATCTGCCGATTTTGGATTTTTAGGCAACCAATATTACACCAGTTGCGATTTGTAATCGCAGTGGGCACGCGAACGAAGAGCTGCGAAGGAAAATCACAGCATTGCGATTTTCGTTTGCACCGGCCGGCACGGCGGCGGCGGCGGTGCATTGACACGGTTCTGAGAAGCCGAACGATGAGCTGGGAACGAAAATCGCAATATTGCGATTCTCGTACGCACCGGCCGGCGGCGGAGCGTCATCAACACGGCAGTGGGCAGGCGAACGAGGAGCTGAACGAAAATTGCAGCTCATCCCAGCATTGCGATTGCGATTTTCGTTGGCACCGGCGCACAGTGCTTCGAACATATGGCTCTAGAGGACAAAAATGCAAAACTTCTCTTTTATTGTAGGCAATTTATTCAAACTAGGTTTATTTGACACAAACGATGAGTACTCTCATTGTACTAAATGATGATGTTCTTAGTCCCACGTTTATGAAAAAAAATCTTATAAATAATAAAAATGTTGGAGCTGTGTTCCATCTAAGGAAATAATAATTTATAGTATGAAAACGGTTGTAAGTATTAAATAAATCCCTGTGATAAAAAAATTCGCATAACATTAGAACATGATTCCTACAATATAAACCTAATATAAGATAAAAATGTTTTCTTAATGAAAAAGAAGCATTAATGATATATTTAATTAAAAAAAAACTTAAGATACTATAAATTTACTTTAGGACAACAAAATGCATAGATCGTAACTACTCTGATTCAGAAGAATCATTGCTGACAGAACCTTCCAAATTTATAGTATCCAAATCACAGGTAGATGAAATATCCTCACATATAAGATATTTCTGTACATCATTTTCTAATATGTTACTTTTTCGCGTTGTTACTGTTCTTTTTGTTGGTATGAGGGGTTCGGATGTTAATAGTTACCTCTTTAATAGACCATATCCATATATTATTTTTTCGTTTTCTTGGGTATGAGGTTTTATAATAAATTGAAAGATGGAAACATTTTTTATGCCACATTTCGCTCCAACATAGTGAGCTCAGGCACAAGTGGTTATCAAATTGGACTGGAAGGTTCATCAATATCTAATAAAGAACACATTTTTTGAAATATAAATAATTTTGAGTTCTTGTCCTTATGATTAAGCCAAGTATTAACCAGATCGGCATTGCTTATCAATTTTACTCCATCTGAAAAGTATTAAAAAATAAAGTCCGTCGCAAGCGGACGCAGGTGAACTATACAAAAATTAAAAGTGTATGAATATGGCAACAAAAATATTCAATAAATACGATATGTTTTGATATGTTTTTTTTAATGACTTTTTGAAGTTTGAAAACGTAAAATTTTTATACCCATTTAAGAATCATCTTAAAAAATAAATAAAAACTAAACAATAACGAACTTGTTTAGAAATAAATTTAAAGTACATACCTTGTTTAACAATATCCATAGTGGCTTTCAATTAAGTACATACCGTTTAACTCCATATACAGAACTACTATGAATGTTATTCTTTTTACTAATATAAGATAATGATCGCAAAATTTATTTTTAGTGAAAATATTTGCTAACAAAAAACGCTGTTTATGAAAAATAATATATAGGATGGTTGAACATTGCTATAAGTATAAAATTACATATTCAGATATTAGTAAATTTTAACTTTTTTTTTCGATTTTTGTCCATGGGACGAAGCACTGTGCGGCGCCGGCGGCGGCGGCGCGGCATCGGGAGTGGGCTCACCAACGAAGAGCGGCGATTGCTATTTTCGTTCGCAGCTCCCAACACATCGGCCTAGACTAGATCGCAAAATCACATTCGCAATCAGGGCCCCGTAATTTTTAGGCAGCGTTGGAAAATAGGCTTATACATATATGTATGTTTATATACCGCATAATATATATAATTTATTAGTTTGAAATTTTGATAATAGTTTTAAATTTATAATATAATTATGGATTGAGAAGGTTAAAAAATTCTTGTTTTCGGTTATGACTAATTATAGTTACAGTTGCTCCCAGGTATTGAATCAGGTAAAATGATTCATAAGGACAGTTTTGGATTCAAATTATAAAAAATTATCTATTTTTATCCTTTATTTACTACTCGTAGAAGATATAGAGCATGGAAAAGAAACAGCCCTATTTATTTATTATATTTTTGTTATATATTATATTATTATAAACATTTTATAATAATCCATAATATAATATAATTTTCTGAATATACTAACAGTTGTGGATCGGCTGCTATGTTAATTTAAATACATCCTTTACAATCAGTTTTTTCATTTTAGAGAAATTTCAAATATAATAAAATGTGATATTGTCCTTTTATTTATCTAAAAGTTCGAAAGTTTGCACTTGCACTGGACGGGCCGTATCAAAGCCGTCGGCGTTGGCTTCTTTTGAGTTATATATAAAGAAAATGTTTTTAAAAGAAAAAAAGATAAAATAAACATTTTTTTCTAGTTATGTGAATTAAGGTTGGCGGCAACCTTTTTTATAATAAATTTTTCGTTAGTATACCTACAGACTGTCTAAAAGCACATTCGAATATTTTGAACATTTTATGTATTTTTAATTTCTCTTTTAAATTTATTCGGTCTGTTCTAATATAAAATGTTAAGGGAAACTAAGTTATTTGTGGATTTTTTTTTTGGTAATTGATGAAAATTATCATAAAAATCACAAAAATACCATAAAAAACACGCACTACAAATTTTAAAAGGCACATGGCATCAAAACACCCAATACTTTCTTTGTAAGTTTTTATTAAAAAAAAATTATTCCGCTATTTATTCTGTTTTTTATTAAAAATTTTGGGATTGAGCTTCCCAGTTTACAGCGTACCAATTTAAAAATATCAAAATCGCAATCGCAGGTTACAGTCACAGCGATTTATAAATCACAATCGCAGTTTCAACTGCGATTGGAAAATCGCAGTTTTGCTCATCTCTATTAAAAATAGATGCAGTTTTTCTTAAATTATTTAAAACCGGCTTCCTCAAAATTGTTCCAATATGGCATGCGTTTTCAGCATATCCAGAACTTCAAAAACCTATTTACAGATTCGCTGCAAAATCTATAAGGGAGCCAATATTTGGACAGTTCAAAATTTGCATGGAATTTTCTACGCTTCCAAAGCCGAATGTAAATCTAATGGTGAACAATCGCGCTTGTATCAGATGAAAATTTAAGTGAAATAACAGAGAACTTTCAAATTTTTATTTCACGAAAAGAAAGTATTGCTACAGATTTATAAAGTTAATAATTAAGATAAATTTCTGAACTCTTAAAATAATTATTAACCTGAAAAAAATGAAGAAGAGAGATGTTCATCTTTGTTAGGATTGAAAATATTGTATAACGGAATTTTAATATGTACCACATAATACAATAATAATCTTGGAATTATTATTTAATCCCCCATCTTTGTAATAATATAAAACTCAACTTACCATCTTTGTTCATGCTGGCTTGAAAACACTTCGAAAGTCTACAGGCTCTGCACTGGTTTCGATGAGTTTTATCCACCGGACATCTGCCTTTCAAGTCGCCTGTAGCTTTGCACGTGTAGACCCTATTGCGATGGATACTGCGTTTAAAAAAACCTGAACACCCTAAAAAACCAAAATAAGTTATTTTTGTTATTTAATAATTCGGGAAATGGATAATATACCATCGCAGCTGTAAATTCCATAATGTTTTCCAGAACTTCGATCTCCGCATACTTTGCAGGGTATGTCCAGAAGTCGATCTCCTTAAACAATATCATAAGATTGATACTAAAGTAGAAGTATATTAAAATACTACAGAAGGAAAGTGACAATAATAGTAATAATAAGCAGTCATACATAAATCAATAGCAGATATAATATAAATATCGGTTGATATATTAAAATTAACTTGCAAATAGGCAATTGGCAAATAGCAGAGATGAACTACTAGTAATGAGCGAGACTTATTCTTGGTCTTGCACAAAAAGCAAGAACAAGACAAAGAATAAGACTAGTGTTTGGTCTGCAAGACCAAGACCGGGGCACAGGCACAGCAAGGCCTTTATATATGGACCTAACCCTAAAATCATAAAGAACTGCTAATGCTTAGCAGGAATAAAGTGCGAATCACAATAGGTCTCTTGACAGGACACATGTCTGTCAAGTGTTGCCTGAACAAGCGCAACCTGTATCAAGGATGTCTTTGCTGCAGACGCTGCGATAAATATCCTGAAACAGCGGAGACCATAATATGCCACTGCGAGGCGCTGAATCCCAAGCAAAACTTTTTATTTAGGAAAGCTAGGCTAGAACCGGAGGAACTATGCTCCCATCCTATCAAAGACCTGCATAAGTGGGTGCAGGGTACAGGGATAGGAGAATGAATAAAGAAATAGAAATGGATAATAGAAACACAACAGGCCTCACAGGTCGCAGTGTTTCCGGCGGAGGACGGCCAATAGCATATGATATAAGAAATTACTTACTTGTTCAAAATGATTGTTCTAATATAATACAAATAGTATTTTTCCGATTATTGCATAAAACTTTAAAGAAAGAAATGCTGATTCAATGTTATATTTTCAAGTTAGTTCCAAGTACAGGAACAAGAAAGTTTTGATCTTGCATTTGCTCATTACTATGAACTACAAACACATAAACGCTAAAATAGCATAAATAATACAGCAAAAATTAATACTCAAATAATACTATAATATATTATCTTAAAGTTCGGTCACTCTTGATAGAAACATTGTGTTGTAACAAGTATGTATCTAAAACCACGGAAAACATTGTTCGACATGGAGAGCATCAGTATACACAATTCGATCGTTTGCTATAGGAACTTATTGTCTGGTGTAGTACTATGCGCCAGTATAGCTTATTAGCGCACAGAAAAAAATGATTGACGCACAGTTAAACAACGCCGCGAGAATGATCGCTGCCCTAAGCAAATTTGCCCCAACCAATGGTTACCATAGACTTACAGTACAACAAAATAGATTTATCTCTATTCTGTGCAAGTAATAAGCAATGTTCCACGGCTTCACCTCCGCCGAAATAACACGCTGTTTAAGGAACGTAAAAAGAACTTCCAATACATCTCTATTTGAGGACGTAAGCAAAACCGGATGCGTTCCAGAAATGGTTCCAGACCTATGAAGACTGCAAAAGCTGGTATAGAAATTGACTTTAATATAACAGAGATATTGGCCTATTGGCCTCCGAATGCTCGGAAGCTACTGAACTTTTTCTTAAGAAACTGTTACTCTGTATATAAGGGATGTAACAAATGTCATTTACTTTAATTTAAACTAGTCAAAGCTCAATAAAGACAATTTCAATATAATGCTTTTTAAATGATTCATATCGATCGTCAGTAACTAATAGCGTCATTGCAACTATAGAATTAGATTTATATCGGAAAGATTCAACAGGAAAACAAGAAATTTTAATTACCTAATTGAAAAATAATTAAAAAATATAAATACCAATAATATCTTCAAACTGGATAAACTATATTATTCACCATGGATAAATTATTATCTTGTAAAGGTTAAAATTTGGAGAATACGTTTATTTACTACTTTAAAAATAAAATAAAAACTTACATAAGATATAATTGAGCGTAAATTCTTAAAAAACTGCATCAACTTTTGAAAAACGTTTTTTTAACTGTTTTTTTCAGCACTTTAAATAGACTGAATCACGAATAGAAATGCAATGTATTACGAGAAGACGGATGAAAAATATACGTATTCAACATGTATACTGACTGACCAAAAATATCTTTATCAAAAATTAGCTTGGCAGGATTTCTAACTCCCAAGATATTTCCAAATAAAGTTGTGCTGTTTGGTTGTAAAATTGTTTTGATTTTTTTTATCATTCCTGAATTGGAATGATTGATTGGATAAAAAATAAACTGCTTTTCACAAGCCGAAACAATTTACGAAAATATTTTATGAACCAGAACAATTGATCAAACTATATTACAAACTTATCCAATTCATATTCTGGCTTTTAGAAAGATACAAATTTTAATTGGTAGCGAGATCTATAAAAATCAACTGAATTGAAACGCATTTAATCAAAAATACTCTTTTTCTACCGAATGTGTACCTATATATCCTCTTTTAAAGTACCTATTAGAGAAAAAATGGGGGAGGGGCAGCAACACACTATGAATGAAAAATTCATTCCAAAATACGTTTATTGACAACATTAGAGCAGTAGCTGGTCTTAGTCTTGCAGTCTAATAAGCAGTCGGTCTTGGTCTTCCTGCAAGATTCATGCAAGAATCTTGTAGCAAGACCAAGATCGATTACTTATTGACATTTGATACATCGCTTACATAGTTGGACTTTTTAATATATTTTTACGAGAGGTACTTTCTTCATAGAAAATATTTTAATAAACAATATAGTAGAGGAGAGCATAAGACGGGACAGTATCAAAGTTTATGCCTATGGACGGTGAGTGTTATTTATTCCTCATATGTTATATAAGTTAGCCGTTTATAATAAATATATTTCGACCCATGCGTCTTTTTTTCTCCTTCGCTGTCAAGTGAGGTTATTAAAAATCTATATTATTGCAAAAGTTCCTAAGATGGGACAATTAAAAGTTACCCAAGATAGGACGTCTAACGCTTCATGTCCCATTTTAGGATGTTAGTTACTAACTAAGAATCTCCAAACACCAACATCCAGTGCCAGTATTTCTCTTGGACCATGCCAGAAAGCACATTAAATTATAAGAGATAAGTCCTATACCAGTTGCCGAAAGAATGAAAAAAAACAAGCTCTAAAAGATCTCGAGAGTCAACGATGCTTACCATATAAAAAGAGCTGGAAGAGGCTGAGAAAGTGAAGAACGAAAGTGTTAAAGGAAAGAAAAGCTTTTGCGATAAGACAGTCGAGATTGTTATCAAGAACACTGTGATTGTCATCACAGTCTGCAAATGTTTATATACGGAAAGTAAATAGGATTGGTATTGGGTGTAAAAATTGCTTTTTAATAGAAAAATTAAACCTGTGGCATCTTGATGAATTGTAATTTGATTATCTATCTCATAGTAATTAGTGTCCCATTTTTAAATTAAGTATTAGCTTATGTTATTTTAAAATTGTCATTAAAAAATGTCGATGTTACCTCAATAAAGTAGACTTTTCCGTAATTCCCATTTCCATATTTTCCTTTTATGTTGTCTGTAATTAATTGAGAAAAAAAGTGTCCTATTTTGGGTCACTCTCCCCTATTTTTCGAATGCAAATATATTTTTATTTTATTCGCAGGATTGTCGCTGGCAATAGTTTAGTTATAGAAACATTTCTTTATTATTGTTTATATAAATTAATGGTTGGAGGGGTAGGTAAATAAAAATTTCATTTTTTAAAAATGAAACTATGAAAACTGAGATATTAATAAAATGCATAAGAAAAAAAATACCGCAAGAGCCTTGAATGCTGGGTCTTATTTTTGATCTTGCGTAAATCTTGCACGGATCGGTCTTGCTTTTTGTATAAGATCAAGACCAAGAACAACTCCCGCTCATCACTATTTTAATTATTTATTAAGTGATATTAAATAGTTCGCAATTTTCTAAAATTCATTAGTTTACCTACATGCAAATAAATTATAACAAAAATATATAAAAACTCACCAGTTCCCATTCTTCGGCCTGCGGGTGGCCTAACCTTACCCCAGATAGAAGAATCAATTTTGAAAATGTTTTTTTCACACCTTTCACCGAAGAATATGATCTCAAAAGTTAATCAAACTACACTAATTATTGGTAAATATGAAAATATTTAAATAAAAGGAAGAATTATTATGGTAGGTATTAAACAAAAATTATTTTATTTTCGTTTCAAAATCAAAACTGTGGAAAATCGGAAAGATGAACCGCGCGTCGTGGTCCTCGTCCGCCAGGGTTGGAAAATTCAGACTGACTGAGACTGCGGCGCTTCCTGGCAAAGAGGGAAAATAGGGGTGGCTGGCTGGCAGGTCCGCAGGCCATTTTGTCACCACCCTTCGTTTTGACATGCCGTCCGTCCCTTATACCCCCACCATCGTCGTATATTTTCCTGCTATCTTTGTCCCGCTGGTATTTGCACGGAAAATTTTCGGGTAAATGAATCGAATATGTGTCGTGACCAGTAGGTAATCCTAATAAGTGCATAATATTTATTTATAAGTAATAATCTATATCCTTGTAAGATGGGTTCATTAATTAATGGAGTTTTCTAAGACTATCGTCACCGAAACAATACTGAGTTTTACCAGAAGGAGCTTTTTGAAAATATTTTAATGCTAATGATTGTACAAACATAGCTTAAAATAGAGTTCAAGCAAAGTTTAAAACCCGTTGAACTAGACAATTCTATTTAGGTATATTTCTCTTGTAGTATAAACTTATGGTTCACACTTGCGGTTCAGGATAAGTTCACACTTAAACTAAGTTCAACAATTTAATAGGCTGTTCAATCAATTCTTCGCTTTCTTATCGTTGAATTTAGTTCATAAATTAGGTATATGACCTTTTGAAATTGAGCCAGGCATCTTGGGGGCTTAAACTAAACTTTTAATCATTTTTTGAAATGAAACTTCTTTACGCGCGATGAGAGTAAAAATTGAAGGCCGTGACACACGAGACGCATCAGGAAAAGTAGTAACGATTGGAGGTTAAGACGGAGCGTCGCGTCGTAACTCGGGTCCAATGTGAGCTAGGGAGCTGAAACTCGGAATCTAGATGGAACTCAAAGAACCTTTTTATTGATTATTATTATTATGATATTTTGACGACGTTTCGTGCACTATAAAACCCCATCATCAATAGCGAAAAAATTGTCCGATTTAATGGGTCTTTGGAGCGTCGTAACTCAAGACCTTTGTGAGCTAGGGGGCTCTAAACTCAAAATGTAGATGGGGCTCGAAGAGCCCCATATTTTCATGATATTTTGACGGCGATTCGTGTGCTACGAAACCCAATCATCAATGAATCAAATCAAAAAATTGTCCGATTTAAATGGAATTTGGTATGTCGATAAATTGGCCTGAGGCCAACTTGACCGTATGTACTACAGTTAGTTTTGACATAAGAAACGTCAAAAGTTGATGTCGTCCGTTGATATACGACGTTTCGTTTGCATCTTCATCAGGGTGGGACAAACGATTTGATACTGAAGAAAAATGTGGGTCAATTTCTGCATAATTGGGGATGGGCTACAGGATGACTCTCGACGTTTCAAACCGATGCGCGATGCCTCTAAATGGACGGGTTCATCAGGATTTTTCTTAATTATGGATCGATTGGAACCAAACTTGGCACGTGGATAGAGGTACCTGAATGGAATTCTCAGACGGACAGATAGACAGACGAAAGTATGAAGTTTCACTTCAAATATGCGCACATAGTGCACACACAATTTTTTTTATCTTAGTCTGTGGGAAGTGTGGAGAGGATGTTTCATGCAGGAAAAGATAGAGACCTATTCAACGAAATAGT